TAGGGAGAGAGAGAGAGAGAGAGCTAGAACGCAGCCACTCAGCAGTTTCCTCTGAGTGGTGGAAGCGTAAAGTAAACGTTCCCTGTTCCCGTCATCTCATCAGTCGTTACGTTGTTGTGTCTGCAGACTGACAGTGGCGGCCACGGAGGGAAGAAGAGTATCGTCTTTGTGGAGAAGGTCAGAGTTTGTCTTGTATTTGTGTTGTTGTTGTTGCTGTTGTTGTTGTTGTTGCTGTTGGTTGGTGTTGTTGCACTAGTGATGTTGTTGTTGTTGTTGTACAAGTGATTTTGTTGTTGTTGTTGCTGCTGCTGTTGTTTTACTGGTGATGGTGTTGTTGTTGCTGTTGTTGCACTAGTGATGGTGTTGTTGTTGCTGTTGTTGTTGCTTGGTGTTGTTGTTGCTTGGTGTTGTTGTTGCTTGGTGTTGTTGCACTAGTGATGGTGTTGTTGTTGTTGTTGTTGTACAAGTGATTTTGTTGTTGTTGTTGTTGTTGCTGCTGCTGCTGTTTTACAAGTGATGGTGTTGTTGTTGCTGTTGTTGCTGTTAATTGTTGTTGGTTGGTGCTGCTGCACTAGTGATGGTGTTGTTGTTGTTGCTGTTGTTGTTGGTTGGTGCTGCTGCACTAGTGATGGTGTTGTTGTTGTTGCTGTTGTTGTTGCTTGGTGTTGTTGCACTAGTGATGGTGTTGTGTTGTTGATGTTGAATCTGTTTGGGTTTTTTTTCTTAATGCTGTTTATATTATACTGTTATCGCTGTTGCTATTGTTTTTAGTCCTGCTGCTGCTGCTGATGTATTTTGCCACGAATAAATAAATATATATATATATACTAGGGCTTGCCAAGCTGGTGGACACAATACAATACCCACCAGTGGGCGATTTGGTCATCTTGGTGGGTGGTTATGGGGATCACCGGGAGGGGGAGCAATAAGCAACGACAACACGTTGAAAAGGAAATAAGACAAGGATTAAAATAAAATGGAACACACATTCATGACACAATTTTCACGTGAAATTGGTCATGTTTTAAAAAACAAACAACCCAAAACAACAACCCCAAAACACACCCTCCCCCCAACCCCCCCAAAAAAAAAATAAATAAATAAATAAATAAAATAAAAAATAATTAAAAATAACTAAAATTGAAAAACCCTGGCCTACCTTTTTCGGAACTGAAAATGTGGTGCCATACGTTTTCAGACAGAGGAACGGCCGAAGCTTGCATGGTGGTTATAAATAGCAATAATGAGAACTCGTGTCGCCCTGTTTTTGTTTTCCTCTTAAGTTGTTTCTGAACTTGTTACATTATCGTACATAAATTATTCTCCGTAGTGCTGTACTGTGACTCTAGTCTGCGACTAGTCTGTGATCCAGCTATTGACATGGTGGTAGTATTATGCTATTATAAGGAGTAGGAGTTACTTACATTCACGCATACGCACACACGCGCGCACACACACACACACACACACACACACACACACACACACACACTCACACACACACACACACACACGAAAGC